GGGCTGGAGCACCTCCTGTATGAAGACAGGCTGAGAACACTGGGGCTGTTCAGCCTGGAGAAGCTGATTGGAGAGCTCAGAGCAGCTTCCAGTGTCTGAACGGGCCTAGAAGGATGCTGGAGAGGGACTCTTCATCAGGCACTGTAGTGATAAGACAAGGGGTGATGGGTTCAAACTGAAACAGGGGAAGTTCAGGTTAGATCTAAGGCAGAAGCTCTTCCCTGTGAGGGTGCTGAGGCACTGGCACAGGTTGCAAAAGAAGTGGTGAATGCTCCATCCCTGTCATTGTTCAAGGCTAGGTTGGACAGGATGTGGAACAGCCTGCTCTAGTGGAAGATGTCCCTGCCCATGGCAAGGGGTTGGAACTGGATGAGTTTTAAGGTCCTTTCCACTACAAACCGTTACGTGATTCTGTGATTCTATGAATCTGCAAACAGCCAGGCTGTAACCATTTGGGCTCTAGGTGAGTGCTGCTGGGAGAGAACACCAAATAGTGGGTGTACCTGTTAGGAGTCAAGAAGACACAAGTCAAATTCTTTAGAAAGGATTGACCCTAAGGTGATGATCTCACCATCTGATGCACAGAGTCACTGTTGAAGAGCCATGTTTTGCTGAAGTACCCATTTTGAGCTGTTCTAGTAAGATACAGTAACTTCAAAGCATGGTGGGAGATCCCGTGTATGTTATTGTGACCAGTAGACAATTTCTGCTCATTTTCTTGTGCTACAGCTTTTCTTTTTCCATAAACATTAAGGAGGAAAATAAGGAAATAAAAATAAGTGGCCAGTACCATTCAGGTTTCCAGGTAGTATCAGTCTGTATCACGAAGCAGGCCTCAGAGCTGGCATAGGCCATCAGAGGGCCTGGGGGCTAAATTGTTCATAAAGACCAAAACTTCCCAGGAGCTGGTCTTTCTTCCATGGCAAGGCTGAGTGAGATGGAAGAACCTGAATTTCTTGCTGATCCTATGTGTGGCTAGACAGGTCTTCACCACCAATCTCATGTCTTTCATAAGCTTGAAATCCACATTACCATTTTAAAATAAAAAGCAATAACTGTGTGAGCTCCCAGGCTTTCCAAATGCCTATTTATAGCTTCATATACTGACAACCAAATTCCTACATGTACTGCCATCCCCAGCTGATTTTAGTAAGTGAGCCTCTGTTGGATCCCCAGCCCCAAATGATACTTCCCATTCTAGAGGGGCCCTCAGGTGGTTGTATCTTTGCTTTCTAGCTGTCCTGCAAAGAAGAATCGCAAGAGAAGAATCTTTGCTCAAGTTGGAAGTGCCAGATTTATTCCTGGTCTGTTTGGTGGAAGAGGAGAGCTTGTTTTCTCCATCCAGGCCTGCCTTAAGTCCCTATCATGCCCAGCAAATACAGATCATACAGGAGGTGAATTCCTTTGGTATCTCACGTGGCATAGCCCAGGAGTGTCTTCTGAAACAACCACTTTGTAAGGAAAGTCAACAAAAGCATCTCTGATGCTCCTGTGGAAGTGCAACCCCCCCCGCTGATCATATTTTCTGGAATGTGGGGAGGAAAAAGAAAGCTCAGGACTTCATGGAGTTAGAGACTAGGAGGCCAGAGGTATTGTGCTTAATTCATCTGATCCTCTTCTAGAAGGAGCCTAATCTTGATTTTAAATTTGCCACAGCCAGGGAACCCAGCAAAACCTTTGGGAGGTTCTACTAGTAGTCAGACATCAGCACTTTTGACTAGTCTGAACTTGTCCAAGTTTCAACTTGCAGCTTCTGGGTGGTGTTACACCTCCGTCTTCTGTACCACAGAGCCCAGTAGAAAGCTCTGTTCTTGCAGACTGATCAAATCCAGTCCTTCATGTTCTCTCTGATAAAGTGTCAACCTTTACTATGCAAGGCAAACTTCCCACACTCACTCTGCTTTACAGCTTATTAACACCCTCCTAGACCACAGACACTGGGATGGAACAAAGTGGCTACATCTAGACTGTTCCTGAGATATATACGGGGGAAGTGGTGGGCTAAAGCTGTTCAGCTTGTTGACTGGCTTCACACATCCACATGGCAGCCTCTGGGACACCATGGCTTGGGAGGCTGATGTTCCTTTCTGAGAACCCACATTCTGGCAGCCCCTATTTTCCTTTGGAGATCCCAGGACCAAAACCAAGACACACAGCAAAGAGCATGTCCTGGTCATGGCTGAATGTGGCACATCTGTGTGCCTCACCTACGCAAATAGAAGTTACATCCCCACCAAGATTTCTGCTCCCCAGCAGTTCCTCACAAGTGGAGTCGCATCCAATGGACAATGGTTTCATAAGGGGAGGCTGCAAGGTTGTTAAGATTCACAGATGGGCTTAGGCCAAAACACAGAATGCGGCCTCTTTATCCCAAGAATCTCCTGCCCTTGTCTTAGAGACTTGGTCTTTTGATCACTGTGTCTGCTCAGCGATTGGTACTCATCTGGCTATTTCTTGTTAGCACAAAGGGCCAGTGGGACTGTCCCTTGCAGCTTGTGGGTTCTTAAAAATTGGGGTTTCTTATTATACTGAGCACAAACTTCTCCCAAAGTTAAGCTGCCTAGGAAATTACTCCTGTCACTATCCTGCTGGTATTCCAGAGCACAGCTCTACTGCACATGGCAAAGAGATTTACACATACTGAATTCACTGTTACTACTTTGACAAATAGCATAATGCCTCAGAGCTAGTTCCTGCATAATCACTTCTGTATGTTTTTACTGACCTTAGAAACAGAAGTAGAGATAAGAACAGTCGAGGAGATGGAAGACATTTTACCAGATGCTCCTTTGCTCCGGGCTGAGACAGGCTGCCTGGAAACTGTTAAAAGACGTGCTCCAACTTCTAGTGTTTTCCTCAGTTTTGCAGTGACACAAACACCCTTTTAAAGGTTTGGGTTAAAAGAGGGATCTGTTTCAAGGGAGTTCAAAGGAAGAAAATGAATTTTTGTTTTGTGTAGCAGTCCAAACAGATACCTCTGTGTGTGTTTTAATCATGGTACGGACAGATCTGCCTCTGTGGTCATTTATGCATTGGATCCTATTCAGAGGAAGTCAGGCAGGGCTACAACCCCAAACAGATGGACTAGTTTAATGGTCAACTGAAATGGGAGGCAGCATTGTCTGGCTTGAAACATTTTAATGCCTAATCTTTAAAAGCTTAAATTAAAATTGTGATGACTCCCATGTTGCTTGCTCCTTGTGATCATGCATTTTGCAGAACCATGTTCACATCATGATTACGTAGCTGGGATTATCTATGACTTTCACCCAAGCATGTTCTCAAGAAGAATGTGGCTTCTTGACATATCCAAATGCATATCCACCATGGCAAATTCCTTTCTCACTGTGTATCACTATCAAACCAAAGTTTGTAGAACTAACTAGTCTTTATTTTTTGAGTTCTTCTTCTACATGTTTCAAACATGAGAATTTTATTTGTCTGTGCTTCTGAATTCCCAGAAGCAGTGAAGTCAAATAGGTGAGAGCTATGTTTTCCTCTAAAGGTGAGGGTTTCATGCTGTATCACATATGGCTAACATCAGTGAAGTTTTAGCTAATGAAGCAATGATAGTGTCAAATGCATTTCACGTCATTCTTTGAGAGGAATATAATGGAGCTGATTGAGGGCTCTGCAGACCTTAAAGGCCATTCATGTGTTAGCAATATGGTTTCTCTGTGGTGCTGTGCCTTCAGGCTTACAGTTATGAAAGTGTTTGTAACATTTTCAAGGGCTACAGCACGAAAAAAACTGAGCAATCGCATTCCCCAGAGTCTGTCAACTACTTATCTGAAAACCAAAAACCGGGTTCTCACATCAGGTTGATTTATTTATTACCATAGCATATTACATGCCCATATAATGTACAGGGCACACAATCATTTGTTTTTCTGCTAAAAATGAGATTCAGTAACAACATATACTTTATTTTTAACATTCCAGCAAGTGTGCACCAGCATGCAATTTTCATAGAATCATAGAATAGTTAGGGTTGGAAAGGACCTTAAGATCATCAAGTTCCAACCCCCCTGCCATGGGCAGGGACACCTCGCTCTAAGCCATATCACCCAAGGCCTCGTCCAACCTGGCCTTGAACACTGCCAGGGATGGAGCATTCACAACCTCCCTGGGCAACCTATTCCAGTGCCTCACCACCCTAACAGGAAAGAATTTCCTCCTTATATCCAATCTAAGCTTCCCCTGTTTAAGTTTTAACCCATTACCCCTTGTCCTATCACTACAGTCCCTAATGAAGAGTCCATCCCCAGCATCCCTATAGGCCCCCTTCAGATACTGGAAGGCTGCTATGAGGTCTCCATGCAGCCTTCTCTTCTCCAGGCTGAACAGTCCCAACTTTCTCAGCCTGTCTTCATATGGGAGGTGCTCCAGTCCCCTGATCATTCTCGTGGCCCTCCTCTGGACTTGTTCCAACAGATCCATGTCCTTTTTATGTTGAGGACACCAGAACTGCACACAATACTCCAAGTGAGGTCCCACGAGAGCAGAATAAAGGGGCAGGATCACCTCCTTCAACCTGCTGGTCACGCTCCTTTTGATGCAGCCCAGGATACGGTTGCTTTCTGGGCTGCAAGCGCACACTGAAGCCGGTTCATGTTCATTTTCTCATCGACCAGCACCCCCAAGTCCTTCTCTGCAGGGCTGCTCTGAATCTCTTCTCTGCCCAGCCTGTAGCTGTGCCTGGGATTGCTCCAACCCAGGTGTAGGACCTTGCACTTGGCCTGGTTAAACGTCATGAGGTTGGCATCAGCCCACCTCACAAGCGTGTCAAGGTCCCTCTGGATGGCATTCCTTCCCTCCAGCGTATCAACCAAACCACACAGCTTGGTGTCATCGGCAACCTTGCTGAGGGCGCACTCAATCCCACTGTCCACGTCAGCGACAAAGATGTTGAACAAGACCAGTCCCAACACGGATCCCTGAGGGACACCACTCGTTACAGGTCTCTAGCTGGACATTGAGCCATTGACCACAACCAATTTTATGACTTTGAAAGAGAAATGAAAGCTGGATAACACATTTAACTTTATTTCAGTTTTCTGAATGGCCAGCTGTGCTTCTCCTCAGTAGATCCTGTCTGTTCCAATACCTAACTGCTAACGCACATGGCAAAGCAAGGAGAAACCATTGAGATATCTTGTGTTCCCTGTAAAAAAGTGTATTAAATAACATACTCCTAATTCACACACTTTAGAGACCACCCAGATATTTCCAGAGCTGTCATATACCTACAACTGTTATTTTTGCAGTGTATATTCAAACGCATTAACACTGAGTAAAACTAGATTGTAATTGTTGAAGGCCACACACCAGATTGCATTGAATTCTTCTGTTCAGTAATTTAAAGGATTCCAGTCTGACTAAACATCCTTTTTTTCAGTGTTTTGCCCATGATTAGTGCCTCAGTGTGGTTCTACTATGATTTAATTTATTGTAAGCAGTGTCATTTTATCAGTAGCATGCCACATGTGTTGCCTGCGCAGTTCCTTAAAACCTAATTAACCTTCAATATTGCATGGGTTAGTTAGTGTTGAAGGCTCGAGTGCTGGGGTTGTTTTAGCTTGTGTTTCCTTTTAACACCGACCTTTTCAAATTCCCTCCTAGATAATGGGATACGGCTTTTAAATGGAAGATATAGCTTTCAAAATGATTTAAGGTAATAAGAGATAAAACAACAGAGGAGCTGAAAAAACTGATAGTGTCTCAGAGTTAAAAGGAAAACAACTATCAGTGCCCCTAGCGATTGTATAATTTGGAGACATTTGAAAAAGACAGGTCTTTAGAGGAGGAAAACATGCCCTAAACTGAACACCACTGCTTTGGAGTTGTGAATTTCAGCTGGCATGAAGCATGAAGGGTGCAGATAAACTGCATCTGATGTAAAGCTTCACTGTATAAAGTTAAACCAGCAGAAAATTTGAGCAGGAGGAATGAGCTCAGGCTGGACCAAAACTCTGCTTTGTGTGGCCATGGCAGCTTCGGTCCCATGTTACCAACCTGAATAGGAGGAATAGGCTTATACTGGGGGAAGAACAGTTCTGATTGCAAAGGAAAGGTGGGGTGTGCACTGCTCTAATTTGTTGTGCTCTGGCCACATCAGCTGCTGGATTCAAACAACTCAGAAAGACCCACAAGTCCTACAGTGTTGTCTGAGCTCTGCCCCTTCAAAAATGTCTGGAGGACCCAATCCAAGGTGATGATGGATGTTTACCAGCTGTGGGAGTCATCACTGGGAACTGCTGCTGCTCTGAAGGTAAGACCTGCCTTTTGGGGTAGAGGATTATTTTCTAAAGAGAGCAGGTTTTGGCATGTGCCAGAAGTATGCTATCTGCATTTTTATTGCAACTCTCAAGGTCTAATTTACAGTATTTAGCGCCATTTGTTTAGTACCCTCCCTTCCCTTTTTTAAAGTGAAGATGACTGGGTCTTTTGGTGGTGGAAACACCTGGAAACCATTACCTTAGCATACTCCAAAGGCTCAGATAACAGAAGGCGAATAGAAGTAACACAAGTGTATTTATTTGCGTGTTTTAATCTTGCGCATTCAAAGCAAATCCGCTGATCATTTGAAACCTCAGTCCTGGTCTGTGAAGGCTCAGGGTTGCCAATACTATTAGTGTATGTGCTGAAGAGTTCCAGCTGATAAAGTTGCGAGTGGTATGCTCTCTGGTGTGCTGTCTCAAGGGAAAGTCAGGCTCAGGAGATGAGGTTTGACTTCATTTGCTCCATGTGACCTTAGTCTGCGGCTTGAAACAGTCTGCTCCTTGTTTCTCCCACTGTGAAATGAAGATAATGATTCATAGCCATTCTTGGGACAGTGCTTTGAAATTTATAAATTAAAATATTATTTATATTCAAGAGGTTCCCAGACAAGGAAAATGAATGATTTCCATAAATGCAATATATTTTTTTTCCTTGCATCATTCCAGTCTGGAATGTCATGTCTAGTTTCTGGGTCTCACACACACTGAGGATGTGTGTGAGAGACAAGTACTTATAATCATTTTATATATATGCAGTCCTTCTCTATAGCAGGCCTCTGTGTGTAGTTTTCTGTATATACCTGTGTATGTATAATAGATATACAGGATACCACTTGAAGTGAACATGAACCTTTCCCATCTCACATTTGGGAACTGACTGCCTTTGTAGAGCCCTCAGATAGGAAAGCTGTGAGTTTGAAAGGTCAAAAACTCAATCAGCCTGTTGCCTAGTGAAATATATACATTAACAACTTTACTAGCTAAAGGGATGATGTAATGTTTGTCACAGAATGATGCCAGTGTGCTTACCTTAATACAATATTGAACTAAGGTCCAGCCTGCATAATTTTGGTTTCTGTCCAAATGATAATGAAAATGGCCAGTGGATGTCCAGGGAGCTCCATGGAAAAGCTTTCTCTTTTGCAGGAGCAGTTGCACAGGGCAACTCTGTGTCTATGAAAGAGTCTAATATCCAAGATAACAAGATAACTATTGCTGTCTGCAAACTGGGAGCCCTCCTTCCCCAGTCAATGGACCTGCTTGGAAGATCACCTCTGCCTTCTGCTGTGGGTCTTCAAGCACTCAAGGTCATTCATCAAAATGTTTTTCTTCCTGGTTCTCTGTGTTTCTGTATCTACAGAGGTTTTCCTGCTACAGAAATTCCTGGCTGTCTTTGGTTTGACTGTGGTTGCTTTGAAAGGAAAAACTACCTTTTTGAATGGAATCAGTGTGCTGTTTATCTTCCTAGAGCCCTTACTTTGTTAAATAGCTTGAAAGAAAGTTCATGGTTTTTTTCTGTGCCTCTTGCTCACTTTCTTTCTTCATGCTTACCCTGTTCTCTTTCTGTACTGTTTGCTGCCATCATGTAAACTGTGTTTGGTGAGTGAAGGTAAAAATATGAGGGAGTGTTAAAATGAATATAGCAGAAATGTACATTGTTGAGGAAAATGGTTTTGTTTTGTAAATCAGCTTGTTTGTTCTTGACTTTTTAAAAATAGCAAGATTTTATATTGGAAAGGTGGTGAAAGGGAGACAAAATATGATAGTTAAGGGTGAATACTGTGAAAGTTGTAACTACAGCTTATACTAAATACGTGTTTGGTAACAAGAAACAAAAATATTTGCAGATGTCCTGAAGGAGAAACAGATCATGGAAACCCGTCTTCCTTTCTGATTGCTGCAGGTTGGTTGAGCCACGCTTGATCCACACTTGTGTAGATCTCAAGTCAGATCCCTCCATAAAGTTGATCTTTGCAGTAAGCCCTGGAGGATGCTGGCTGCTGCACTTGACTCTGTCCAGAGCAAGTGAATATTTGCTACAGAAAGGGCTGTGGAAAACAAAAAAGAAGCTCACTGCACTATTTCCATTTCACAGAAAGAATCTTCTTCTTTAGGGAAGCAAAGTTTCCCAGTATAGGTAATTTCACAGCCAAGAGACACGATCGTGTTGCCTTAAAGCAGTTAAGAAATAAGCAAGAGTTTAAAAATCTATCGCCTTTTATTCTGAGCCTATTTTTAGAAGGTGGAAATTTAATATGGATATTTTTTTCAGGGCAGGGGGAGAGAGAAGAGTAAATTTCCATTGAGAGGAGGGAGAATGAATAAATCTGAAATGGCTTCTCCTGATGAGCCCAGGCTAGGGAAATCGCCTATGCTCAGCCCTGCAGAAAAGCAGGGCTGCTGCTGTCATTGTGTGGGGACTGTAACAAGAGGAACAGGAAAAATATACACTCAAAATTGGCTGCTTGATGCACTGGATGGGGATCCAAAACAGCTCACATCCCCTATCAGTAATTTATACTGAAGTCTGCCTAGTGTGAAAAACCAATTGCTTGAGATCAATAGAGATTTAATGACCTCTGAAGGGAAAATAAACCATTCTGCCAAAATGCAGCAAAGCCTGCTTGAGCCCTGGAGAAGAGAGGGCATCCTGAGGAGATGATGAGCACCCGGTGATGGGGTGCAATTGGAATGCAGGGGGTCAGTGCAGGAGCCCTACTTGGCCAGTATTGAATGTATTAACTGCTGGATGTCTGCAGTATCAAAGGCTGTCAGATCCATCGATCAGGATCTGAACTTCTTTTCCCTGACTGAAGTGGTGATGATCCACCTCCTGATGGAAGCCATGGGCCTGAGTAAGGAGGAAGGGGAAGATGCTAGTGGAAGAGGGCATGTCAGAGAAACTCTATGGCTCTATGACTGAGATATAAATGTCTCAAAGGTGGGTACCAGGAGGATGGTGTCAGACTCTTTCCAGTGGTGCCCAGAGACAGGACGAGGAGCAATGGCCATAAACTAACACACAACAAGTCTCACCTCAACGTAAGGAAGAACTTATTTACACTGAGGGTGTCAGAGCACTGAACAGGCTGCACAGGGGGGTTGTGGAGTCTCCCTCTCTGGAGACATTCAAACCCTCCTGGGCACGTTCCTGTGCGACCTGCTCTGGGTGGCCCTGCCTTGGCAGGGGGTTGGACTGGGTGATCTACAGAGGTCATTTCCAACCATAATGGTTCTGTGATTCTGATTCCAGAAAACAGCAGTCCTGGGGAGGTTTTAGTAGACTTAAACCCAGAACAAAGCTGATCTAAACAGTATCTAAACAGAATCTCCCTAACACTACCATTAGAGACCTCAGCTCAGGATTACTGACCGATTTCTTGTTTACACTGTGTGATGTTTCACAGCCAGGCAGAGGTGGGACAGTAAGATATTTAGCACTGGAGTCATGATGAGGCCCTGAGGTGTACTGCAGGAATTATCTGGGCTCTGGCCAAATAATACATTAGACAGTGGTGCATGTTTATTACCAGATTGTCTTGTAACTTCCTGTCTCTCGTTAAAGTTTCTGAGTCAATGCAAGTGGAAATAAGAGAGACCCGTTAAGCCATCTAGTCCATCTTCTGTCCAGTGCAGGATTCCTCTCTTGAGTTCAGTTGCTTGTGCTTTGCAAGTATAGTTTAAAATGTATGAAGAAATGCATCACTTCATTTATGAAAGTAATCAATACCCTAACAGACCTGTCAATAAGTTTTCATTTTCTTTTACATTTTTTCCTTTAAAAATACCATCCTCTTGCAAGTTATGCCCACTGGTGTTAACAGCCCTTCTGACATACATAGATGTCTATTGGAACTTCCTCTCTTCATTGCTTAGCCAATACGTATATCTTGAGGTCCAGACTTTTGCACACTTGCCCATGATACATTGCTTTATAAGTAGGCCTATTAAAATGTAGGGGAAAGGATGGAATAAGAATTGAAGTGCTACTCCACGGGAATAAAAGGTGCCCCAATACACCCCTAAACTATTTTAATCTTTCCTTAAAAGTCAGCCTAGACAACCCCTTAGACACTATTGTTGCTCTTCACTGAACCTGCCCTTTTAGATGCTAATAAGGTACCCAGGAGTGAATTTAGTATTCCTAGTGTGGTCACACCAAAGCCATATGGAGTGGAATCTTTTCTTCCCTTTTCCAGGAGGTGATGTCTTTGAATCTGAAGCCAAAAAATTTCCCTTTCTCCTTTTTTGCTCAGTCGCATTTAATGCGCTCTCTGCTATCACCCTCAGGCTTCTTTCAGCATTAGTTTCCTCATTTTCCCTTCTGTGGAATAACTGAGTTTTGGATTATTTTCCCTAGAAGTCTAGGCTTGGATTTCAAGTTGAGAGTCCTTCTGTTATTTGCTCCCCATAGGTCATATATCATGTCATCAGCTATTAAGCACAATTCTAAGTGTGGATTACAAGTTACGGATTTAATTTCCATTGATTTTCAAGGGGGAGGAAAGAACTGACAATTACCAACACATCTGAATTTAAATTCCATCCCCTTGCCATCAGCAGCAGAAATAATGGCAATATTATTCTTTCCAGCTTAACAAATATCTTCAGAAATGTTTACAGCTTAGAAATTGTAAATCTTCTCCTTAATAATCCAGAAAAGGGATCCTTTAAACCTTTATTTATAGCCAAATGAGAAGTTGAAGTTGGCATTTTTAGAGTATACAATCATTAAGTCTTAAGGAAAGCAAGTATGGGAGCACTGTTCAGGATGGGTGTAGGATTGACTGGGAGAAAACTGTAGTCTAGTAATTATAATTCATTCTTAATTCAGAATGCTATATTTGGCTATGGTACCTGTAAAGTATTTTAAACTAAATTTGCCACCGATGTGAACTGAAAAATGAATCCAATTGAACCACACATTCCCTAATGGGTGAAGCAATTTTGTCCAGTTTTTGCAAAAGTTGAAATAAGGTACACAGATTTTGTTGGTTTCAAAAGTACTGCAGAAAAATAGTGTCTGACATGCAGGTAAGAGTTCTCCACTCTTTTGTACCTAGAGGGAAAATTCATTAAAGTTGCTCTTGCGAAGTTGAACAGAGTTTGCTGCTTTGCCTGGATATATTGAAACACAAATAATCCACATTTCAGCTCCATTTTAGTAGGTAGATATGTTCCTGGCACCAAAATTTCTTCTGCCTCAGATTAATTCATGGGATTGGTGGAGGGACGTGCACTTGGCTGTTGTCTACAGCACTTTCAACACTGTCACTTAGCTTTCTTCCCAGGGGAGTTAAATGAGACTGTGCTAAAAAGAGTTGACCATCAGCAGGTATTTTACTCCAAGATTCCCAAGGGCTTCCCCCATCCCCAGTTCCTTCTATAGAGGAGGCCTCGCACAGGTGTCTGGGTGAGGACTTAAACTAGACCCAGTTTCAAAAATGAACTTACTTTTCTTTTTCCCTAAGTACAGCCAGAGTCTGAGATGATGCAATACTGTGGGAATGCTACTGTGGGAATAATCTGTTGTATCACTCCAAAAATTGCAGTTCCTGACTTAATTAGCTCACAGAGCTTGATATGTAACACTGACCATTACAGAAAGCCTGATAATAAAGGGTAACGATGCAACACAAACACTTTAAATTAACACAAGCTGTGCAGAAACAGACTCCCCAGGATGCTGTGTCTCAGTTTTAAGGAAATTCTCCCAGAGATGGGAGGTACTAGAGTCTGTCCTTTAATTTGCCCTACTTGGACTGATTATTCCTCCTTCGTATGCTAACTTCCATTCTTCTCCAGGAATAGAGACAATTTTGCATATTCAGAACTTTTGGAAACGTTTTGAATATCCAAATCTTTTGATATTTATCCACACTAAATCTAACACAGAAGTTTCCAAGCAGTGATGAACCTAATAACAAATACAGCCAAGTAATAATTAGACACAATAATGTATTGCAATAATCAAACTGTAGTAATACCAGCTTGATCTGGGGAAATGGAAAGAACATTTAAAACCCAAATGTGAGTTCCATAATAAAAGTACTCTCTGCCACTCTGTAGGATGGCTACAAAAGGTATGGCAGCATCCAAAACCATGAAGTACTTGGCCTGAGTTTGCATTTTTTAAAGCAGTTGGCAAAAGTCTCCTTGAAGAGCAAGCCTGGTGCTTGAAAACACACGGGAATGCTACTGTGGACATTGTGGATGGGAGCACATGGGAGGAAGGTCTGATAGAGGATGGGAACCAACACGTGAACTGGAATGATGTGGGGTAAAAACATGGTGCGGGGTTGAAGGGCAGGGACCATGCCTCTGGATGCAATCTCCATTACGGGAATAATAGTGGGGAGCATGTACCTACCCCTCAGGCACTCCAGCTTGTAATTCACTGTGTATTAAGCTCAAGCCACCGAGAAGGGAGGGTTCATGCTAAGGTGCTAGACTGTGCAGTGTCTGAATTCTAATGGCTGTGGCTCAGACACTGGTTCCCTCCTGTTGACTGTCTTGTCAGGAGATTGTAGCCCAGCAGACGGGTGGTAACAAACAGCTGGAAGGCAAGAGCAACATTTACTCAATGAATGTGAATGAGAGCCCTGCTTTAAATAAAGTTGCTGTCTGCTGACATCAGTACAATGCCATAAGGCAGTGACTGCTGCACTGGTTTCAGATCTGAGCTGGGGAAGTGCAGCTTGCACAGTTCCATCTTTCAGGCCATGCTGAGGTGTTGTTGGGGTTTAACGTCTTGCTTGCAGGGGGCACCGTATAGGCTCAGGGCCCTGAATCTTGTCAATTGTATTCTTCATTTTTTCTCATCAGATTTTGGGACCTATCAATTCAAAGTGGAAGATTTAATTCCTAAAAGGTGTGGAAGCTAGCATCAAGAGAAAATAGCTACACATGTATATATGTATATATACCATGAATATGAGACACATAATTTATAGCCCTGATTGGGATGTTCAGCTTAGACAGTTTGGACTGACTCCCTGGGATGTCAGTAGAGCCTGTTCCTTGATGTGTCAGTCTTGTATGGCCATCTTTTGAGTTTTGGCTCAGTGATTACCTAGGGATAGACCATATTCTTACAGGGACAGGATAAGGCTTTCTTCACATGGAGAAGAGGCCAAGCTATTTTACATCTGCAGTCATAGCTCACGTGAAACCTTGGGTTTCCTTTTGGGATGAATGAGAGAGAAAGAAAGAATTCAGCTAGGATCTTTGGTTTTAGAGGCCTTCTTTTGTAACTACACCAACCATTGCCTCTTCAGCACCAGTACAGTAATTCTATAACCAGAAGAACAGTTATTGAGTAAATCTAGTGCTGTCTGCACCTTCCCAGCAAGCTGAATGTTTTTGCTGGCTTTGTGGTAAATAAAGATTATAAGTATGCCAAGCTAATAAAAGCATCTGTATCTCCAGAAAGTCTATTTGCAAGTTGTAATAGATCTTCATTTTGTCTATTTTCTATAAATATAACCTCATGAGAATTGAAGTACTGAAATACTAAAGTTTCCCCAAAATGCAGTCAGTTAAAACGAGCCAATGAGTTGGTCTTCCTTTAACTAACTGCAGACTTCAAGAAAACAACTGGAGTTCTTCTGAATGCAAAATCACAACATGCAATGTAGTGGCTAAATACTGATACATGGTATTTAGTTTCAGAACCTATTTCTTACATGTATTTTACTATCTCTCCAGGTACCCAAAGTCTTTCTTGACATTCTCCATTTTGTGCAACCACCTGGATCAGGTGGGAGTGAAGTTGCCCTGTGCATATTTATGTTACGTTGGCCCAAGTGCCCCAGGTAAGCACACTTTTTTCTGGCTTGTGTTTCATTACCTTCCTGAACTGCCTTCCTGGAGATACCTGTTCAAGTGAGCTTGAGCCAATGGAACACCAGGCACCAGCCTGAAGATCTTGGCTTAATAGAGTCATCATGCCAGGTACATGGGAAGCTGCTGAGCAGTGATTTGGAGAGTGAGCTGTTCCACCAGCTCCAGGCATGCCAGGCCCAGATGAACTCACTAAACTTGAGGTACGGAGCCGCCCGGTATGTAAGCAACAGGATGCAGGGGTTTTTCTGTGCAAGAGGCATCCAACCATCTGCCACGTGCCCGACAGATCTGCTTCATCCCACAGCTGTGTGACTGCTCAAACACAACTGTTGTGTGCCTGTGTAGCAGTAAATTTCCCAGAAGTAGTGCCTCCTGCCTGAAACTGTGTGCATGTGTGGGGCAAGGGTGGCAGATACCCAGTAAACGGAGTGTGTGTCACCCAAAGACAGATGCTTGGAAGATCTCCAGATACAAAGCCTCAGAAGTTCCTAACCAGAACCCTGAGGGAACTCTTTTTGAGAAAACAGTGAACAGTCAGACCCAAATCCCAAGAAGACTGTTATCCCCTCTGGAGGCAAGCCAAAGAAAATGTTCACACCAGCATAAACCCAGGGATTTGGTGTTATTCTGCTGGCAGTGTAGTCGGTTGCCTGGCTGGAAAACCAGATGAAGGAGCGCTGCATCTTTGTCTTCTCATGCAACTTTTGTTTCCAGAATTGTGGTGATAGGAGGAGCATCTTCAAAATCTCTGCCGAAACCAATGACTATATAGGCAGAAATGAAACACAGCTGTGCCTAGTAAACATTATCTAATAACAGCTCTGTAAGACTCCATGAACTGGGATCTTCTTACAAGTGATGCTGCAGCCACGTATGGGACTAATTTGGACAATGAGATGCGGGACGCATGTGGCTGCCCAACACTCATGATAGACATGGTAGATTTTGTAATCTCCTGCATGTTCCTGATATTTCTTTTTCTTTCCTTAGGCTTTTTACACTACATACATACCCTCCCTAGACTGAACTGCTGTGTCTGCTGGTTAGCAATTTTGCCAATGACTTTTGCTGGACTGAGGTATAATACCTGGTGTATGAAATTCTGCCATACCTGTTGCATAAAATAATTTCATTCTCTGTAGACTCTCTCATTTTGATATATTGGAAAATGAGTGACATTTACTGTCTGTGAGAACTGCCTGCCACGTTCTCTAGGTATGGTCTACAGTTGGCATGCAGGCTATAATTAAAAAAAACCATTATGCACTGATCACCAAAGAAGCATTTGTTTATTTTGCCTGCAGCTCAAGTTGGCCATTTCAATATTGGTCTAGCTATAATTACATTAATATAAATAAAGCTGGAGTGTCTGTGCTTTACCCAACTGAGGGCTACACTTGAGTTTTGGCAGAGCCAGAGGGATGAATCTGATTTGTTGAAAAGATCGATCAGATCGCAGCTGGCCTCGTAATACAAAGGTGATAACCAGAGATGCCAAAAAGAGCTAGCCACCTACAGACTTAGATCAAATAGAGCCTTCTACATGGGGCCCTGTGGTGCACCAATGGCACCCACGCTTCAAAGGCAACCCACAGGAGAAAAGTGAGCCTGTGACCTTTGAAATGGCTGTTGGGTTTTCCTAACTTCATTTGATACAGTATTAGGAATATATAAGCCATTAGACCCTGAGATGGTTGTATTTGCCTTTTCTCTGTTTTGTCTAGAAGCTTTCCTGGAGGAATTCTTCCAGATTTAGAGCTTTCTCACGTTTTCTGAAGAGCGAGATGTACATGGGGAAGACTGTGCTGGCAGGGAACAGGCTTCCAGCAGCAGACCCATGTGCGAGTGGAACAAGCTGAGCTGGTAAAACACAGCCCTGACAGCGTGTCTGGCCCCACACACCATACATGGATGGAGGCTGGCTCCATGACCAGTTTCATGTCCCCGACAGACATTGCTGAGTCAACAGTGCTCTGCTGGGTGGACCTGGCCAAAGTCGTTTTGCTGTTCTCCTGCAAGGCGTTTGAGCTACACAGGTAATGTCAACACCAAAAGCATCAGCAAGCTATAAATGTTCTGACTAAGAAATCCCTGTTCCTATTTTACTTGCACTTCCCTAGATGTGTCTCTGTGACAACATAATCCTGACATTTCTCTGGTGTCTGGCTTGGAGCATTTGGGGGACAGAAGTGATAAGGTTCAAGCTTCTAATGAAAATAAAAGAAAAAAGAAACCTATAAATATATCTAAACTTGGCAGCTATAAACTCTAAATGGGAAAATAGGCAGAAACCTATTGCATCTTTTCTCCTTTTTGGCATCTCTAACAATACCAGGGGAGAGCAGCTTTAATGTACCCTGGGACTATCCACACTCTGGACACAAATCCAGACCCTGACTGCACATTAATTTTGTTCTGACCTAAGTAGAGTCCCCATTCTGCTTGTCTGCAGGACAGGCTGCATTTCTTGCTGCTACCACTACCTGTGATGCTACTGCCTCTTGCAGCACCATTGTCTTTGCTCGCCCACTGCTCATGCTCCTGATCTTCCACCCATATAGAATTACAGAATGGTTTGTGTTAGAAAGGACCTTAAGATCATCCAGTTCCGTCCCCTGCCAAGGTCAGGGACACCTTTCACTAGAGCAGGTTGCTCCAAGTCCCATCCAACCTGGCCTTGAACACTGCCAGGGATGGGGCAGCCACAGCTTCTCTGGGCACCCTGTGCCAGCGCCTCAGCACCCTTACAGGGAAGAGCTTCTGCCACAGATCTAACCTGAACTTCCCCTGTTTCAGCTTGAACCCATCACCCCTTGTCCTATCACTACATTCCCTGATGAAGAGTCCCTCTCCCACATCCTTGTAGCCCCCTTCAGCCATTGGAAGCTGTCTGAGGTCTCCACGCAGCTTCCCTTCTCCAGGCTGAACAGCCCCAGTGTTCTCAGCCTGTCTCCATACAGGAGGTGCTTCATCCCCTGAGCATCCTCATGGCCTCCTCTGGACTTGCTCCAGCAGCTCCATGTCCTTCTTATGTCGCGGACATCAGAACTGCATGCAGTGCTCCTTCAGCTTTGCAGCCACTGAGTACCCCAAAGCTGAGCAGGAACTGGCACTTGAGAACTTGCCCCACTAGCAGTAAGGCAGCAAGGAAAAGCAAGAAGAAAAAGGATACTGGCAATCTGAGTCAGCACATCCTTCTTGTGTACTGCCTATCTGCAGAAACCACTGCTGAAGGATGATGCAAGGGTGGGATCAAGTGCCCAGCAAGGACAGGGAAGCACAGGATATAACCCAGGAAAGAAATCCAGAGGAGCCTGCAGCCTCAGATCTCTCTGAAAGGAGCATGTGAGGTCATGCTCTTTACCGACCCCAAGCACTGCTCCTTTCCACATAAGCAGCCAGTTTTGGGGTCAGTCTTCTCATAGTTTTCCCTACGGCAATGCAGCGAACACATCCCGAGTGCCAAGGAGCTGCAGCATTAGTTGCTGTATCTTCCTTGATGAAAATACCAATGTGCTACAGAGGAATTGACAATTTTAGATCACTATTGGGGGAAAACATGTCAAAGATTAACTTGTCGCACCGTAGTGCTGGTGTCTCCTGCAGCAGCGAAGGAAGAAAAGGCTCCACAGTGCACTGAATCCACTTTTGTCTTTGCAGGGTACTGCCTGCTTCTGTTTGAAAGGCTTGCATTGTATCACTGTTCTTTTTTATCAGGTTTCCCATGGTGGTCAGTGTTACATATCTTACATTGTTTGAGCTAATTAAGCCAGGGAATCAGGGAAAGCACATTTCCGGTGGGGATTTACTGCCAAAAGATATTTCAGCTGAAGGGGGAAAAAAGGAAATCTTGTTTTTTTGTCCAGCATTTCTGAGCTCTTTCATAATATTCAGCGTCCAACTTTATGGAAATAAACTGACAATGGTGTCAGGAAGTTTGAACTTGAGCAGTTCTCCCTTGTTTTGTTGAATTTAAAAGCACTGTAAAGAAAGCAAAGGATTTGTGTAGCCACAGAAACAATAATGTTTGTATCATCTTGGAAACAGAATTAGACACGTTTGTTAATGATTTACACACAAATGCTTGTTTGACCCCAAGGTGCTTTGTGCCTCTATTATTTGCACCTACTTCTGTGTTTCTTTACAAGTGGCAGTGATTTACATCTTGATCGGTATGTATTTAGGATGCTGGTAGGGTGGCATGGGTCACTACTGTCTGCACCAAGCCTGGTTGTTCACAGCAGCATAAAGTGGTACTTAAGGTGGCTGATGGCAGTGCTGGAGCCTACCTTCAGCTGCCTGGCAAGTGCTGCCCAGGGGGCAGAGCCTTGACTGCAACAGGCTTGTCAGCCCAGCCGAAAAGGGAAGCTCTGCTCTTACGTATGGGATGTTGCACATAGGTTCATTGTTAGGAAATCCTGTGTGTGAACAAAGCCCTGCTTTTCTTCCAGATAATATTAATAATCCCTGTCAATAGGACTGGTGATGATGACAGTTTATCCATTTTCACCAGTAGGTCTAAAAGGTTTTGCTGAAAGAAGTGAGGATGATTATCCCCTGCCTGCCAGGGGAAACGTGAGCAACTGGGGAGTGCTGTTGATTATTAAAGGCATCCAGTGTTTGGGATGAGAAGGTCCTGTTTCCAGCTTTGTGTAATTTCTGTCAAGCTTTGACTGTTCGGCATGAAATTGTCTTCAGATGTCTTCTAAAGTGTGGCTTGTTACCTTTTGCTTTGTTTTCTTTGGGTTTTTTTGATAGGTAGTTTCAGCTGAAACATTTCAGCTCTCCCAATATAATGAAGAAAAGGGTTTTCACCCACAGAAAAAGGCTGGCAACTTTGTCCTTAGAAAACACTGGCAGTGCCCCTCATATGAAACAGGGACTGAAGGTCTGATATCACTGTCCTGTCAAAGAAAATTTACTTAACTTCTAGGCCTCTGACAAGCTGCTGTTTGCACATGCAAAAGGTTGGACTTGATCTTACAGGTCTTTTGCAACCTAGTTGATTCTATGCTGGCCACAGAGGAGAAGGCTTTATCCAAGGTCCCCTCATTTCTGGCCTGCAGCAAGCAGGCTAGAGAGCAATGTAACTATCAGTTAATCCCTTAGGCCAAGTGAGAAGAGTCTCAGATAGAAGAGATTCCAGCTTTGCTGATGGCACATACAGGTGTTGGTGTGAAGCTGAACGATAGCACCTCAGTCTTTCCTAATTATTTTTCTCAAAAACAGGAAATTACATGACAAAGCTGTTAAAAATATTGTGTTGAGATGGAAAAATCAGACACTCAGAGTCAAATAGGAAGAATTCCACAGTTAAGGTTCTCTTTGCAATCTCATGCCAGTCCCTTTGTGCAGATTCTATTATTGTGATCCATCTTTAATTAAATGACAATGCTAATTTTTTCCCTAAGTCCCCATCCTCATGTAGTGCACAGGATGTCTCTGCTGTTAAAATTAATGAAGGCTGTATTATGAAGCAAGCTCTTGGCTGTAGAGTCCTCACCAAAGTGCTCCTGTAGCTGGAAGAAACACAGCCCATGAGGCGGCAGGTTATGAGAAAGAAGATTACATGGTGCCTTAGGAATTCAGCTGTGGGATGGCATACCTGCTCCTGTCACTGCATCTATACATGTTGTCCAAATCACTTAAAGCAGGTTTGTCATTGGTGGGTGCTAAATGCAAATCTGTCACTTCCAGTGCCCTTGGCTTATCACCCAGAGGCCCCAACCATGCTGCTGCTTTTGCCATGCTCAGTTTCCCTATGCTTTTTCCTGAAAGTAAACCATCTAGACTAAGTGCAAGGCAGATGGATTCAGGT